TTCTCACGTAAATTTACGAGTGGTAGAGATGGCATTCAATAAATATGCATCTCATGCAATTCAGTTCCATGGTGCTATCATTTTCCATGATTCAAATGACTGTCCCTCCAAACTTTCCGCGGTTCAATGGAAGCACAACTTTTTTGATTACCAAATTATGTACAAATTAAATGTTCTTACTTGGGTAATTTTTCACGAAGTTCTCTTGCCTGTGCTGGACTTGACCATCTCTCTTATACTAGTTATAGTTTAAGAACTGGGACAGACAGTCATGCAGCGACCATTGGGCTGGCTGATGATGAAATATAACAAATGGGCAGGTGACACTCTTCGGGAATCGAACGTCAGGATGTCATCCTTTCATGACATCTTCTTGGCACAGGGTCGAGAAGTTTGGTCTTTGTACCTTTAATTCTTTGGGTACAGGGTCGAGAGGTTTGGTCATTGTACCTTTAATTCTTTGGGTACAGCGTCTAGAAGTTTGGTCATTGGACCTTTAATTCTTTGGGTACAGCGTCTAGAAGTTTGGTCATTGGACCTTTAATTCTTTGGGTACAGGGTCTAGATGTTTGGTCATTGTACCTTTAATTCTTTGGGTACAGGGTCTAGAAGTTTGGTCTTGGTACCTTTAATTCTTCTTTGGTACAGTCATTGTACGACCTTTAATTCTTTGGGTAGAAGTTTGGTCATTGTACCTTTAATTCTTTGGGTACAGCATCTAGAAGTTTGGTCATTGGACCTTTAATTCTTTGGGTACAGGGTCCAGAAGTTTGGTCATTGGACCTTTAATTCTTTGGGTACAGGGTCTAGATGTTTGGTCATTGTACCTTTACTTCTTTGGGTACAGCGTCTAGAAGTTTGGTCTTGGGACCTTTAATTCTTTGGGTACAGGGTCCAGAAGTTTGGTCATTGGACCTTTAATTCTTTGGGTACAGGGTCTAGAGGTTTGGTCATTGGACCTTTACTTCTTTGGGTACAGGGTCCAGAAGTTGGTCTTGGGACCTTTAATTCTTTGGGTACAGCGTCTAGAAGTTTGGTCTTGGGACCTTTACTTCTTTGGGTACAGGGTCCAGAAGTTGGTCTTGGGACCTTTAATTCTTTGGGTACAGCGTCTAGAAGTTTATTAGTTGGGCCTTTAATCCTTTGGTCATTAATTTATCTATAATAAATTTCCAAATTTCAACTTTTGCCAAATTTTACTCGTTTTTTACATTGTCAGAATATCTTTGACAACTTTGTGTTACATAAATGACACATCAAGATATTAAATTGTTTAAGACAGTCGGGCCATATATAACTTACTGAGTCATGCCGTTTGATTACAATTTGTCAATTTAAAACGACCTCCCGAAGTCCACTTTTCCTTCCACACTTTGTAGACAACGAAATCGAGACGTTGTCAAGGGCCAGCTGACGTTTACGTAATAGTAAATTAATAGTGTAAATCATCGACGTATGATTTACGGTGGTGAGAGAGTAAAATAATGCTTCCACAGGTTTTTTAAAGCACCAGAAAATAAACGTTCACATTCGAAGGAAGTGTGAAGTAATTTATCAAGGTGAAGTTGAAACCGATTACGTTACGTTTATTTACAGATAAGTGCACACTACACCTGTAACACATCCAATCTACACAGCGTGGTCAACTTGTCGTTACACGGTAGTAATTCTCCGCAATAATGTTTAGGTATATCCGAATCCTGCTTTTCCCCATGTTTTATTTCTCTCAAAATCGGGGATGAAAGAATGAGAAACTGAATTTGAACGATTGTATCACCGGGTGAATGTAAGAAGTTGGTTAATACCAATTGTAACAATGACATACACACAGGCTGTAATTATAATCAGTACACGACAATACAGTGCGGGTAAGATTAAAAAAAAATATAAACATCTATTTTTAAAACGACCAGCAGGAGACTATATTCAAATGGAAAAGGATGAAATAAATTGAAAATAATGATTATATTTAAAATGAATTACCGGTTTATTTCCTCTCATGTGCTCGGTAATACGCCAACGTAGTCCAATAGTCTTTACTGCAGTTATACAACTTCACTGACAGAAATTCTCAATGATTTCTCATTATACATCAAGGAAGCCTTAGCAACCATTCCCCACTCGAAATGGCACCTTCAGCTATCATTTAACCGTCAAGGGAAATTTCCTAGAACCGTTAAGATTTATCCTACGATAAGCCACATTTATCCAGCTAGATTTAAGATATATTACCTTTATCCAGCTAGGTTTATGATATATTACCTTTATCCAGCTGGGTTTATGATATATTACCTTTATCCAGCTAGAATATATTGCCTTTATCCAGCTAGGTTTATGATATATTACCTTTATCCAGCTGGGTTTATGATATATTACCTTTATCCAGCTAGGTTTATGATATATTACCTTTATCCAGCTGGGTTTATGATATATTACCTTTATCCAGCTAGATTTAAGATATATTGCCTTTATCCAGCTAGGTTTATGATATATTACCTTTATCCAGCTGGGTTTATGATATATTACCTTTATCCAGCTGGGTTTATGATATATTACCTTTATCCAGCTGGGTTTATGATATATTACCTTTATCCAGCTGGGTTTATGATATATTACCTTTATCCAGCTAGATTTAGATATATTGCCTTTATCCAGCTAGGTTTATGATATATTACCTTTATCCAGCTGGGTTTATGATATATTACCTTTATCCAGCTGGGTTTATGATATATTACCTTTATCCAGCTGGGTTTATGATATATTACCTTTATCCAGCTGGGTTTATGATATATTACCTTTATCCAGCTCGGTTTATGATGTATTACCTTTATCCAGCTGGGTTTATGATAGAATACCTTTATCCAGCTGTGTTTATGATAAAATGCCTTTATCCAGCTGTGTTTATGATATATTACCTTTATCCAGCTGTGTTTATGATAGAATACCTTTATCCAGCTGTGTTTATGATAAAATGCCTTTATCCAGCTGTGTTTATGATATATTACCTTTATCCAGCTGTGTTTATGATAGAATACCTTTATCCAGCTGTGTTTATGATAGAATGCCTTTATCCAGCTGTGTTTATGATATATTACCTTTATCCAGCTCGGTTTATGATAGAATACCTTTATCCAGCTGTGTTTATGATATATTACCTTTATCCAGCTGTGTTTATGATAGAATGCCTTTATCCAGCTGTGTTTATGATATATTACCTTTATCCAGCTCGGTTTATGATAGAATACCTTTATCCAGCTGTGTTTATGATATATTACCTTTATCCAGCTCGGTTTATGATAGAATACCTTTATCCAGCTGTGTTTATGATATATTACCTTTATCCAGCTCGGTTTATGATAGAATACCTTTATCCAGCTGTGTTTATGATATATTACCTTTATCCAGCTCGGATTATGATAGAATACCTTTATCCAGCTGTGTTTATGATAGATTACCTTTATCCAGGTGTGTTTATGATATATTACCTTTATCCAGCTCGGTTTATGATATATTACCTTTATCCAGCTGTGTTTATGATAGATTACCTTTATCCAGGTGTGTTTATGATATATTACCTTTATCCAGCTCGGTTTATGATATATTACCTTTATCCAGCTGTGTTTATGATAGATTACCTTTATCCAGCTATATATTAGCTAGTTTTAAGTTAGAATGTCTACAATGACTTCATTCTCCAATTTAAGCCATGTTTATTTCACATTTAGATCATTTCTTGCATTAAAACGTTATGAAAAGACAATGCAGTGCTTTCCGTAAATCATCATATATATTTCAAAATATCTATACTTTTCACAAGTGCCAAATATATATATGAACAAGAAAACATTCAATATCATATATATAGCTTCAACTTCAAACAAAAGTTCTTTCTTTTTTGGTAACGTTGCAAAAATTATGTTGACTTATTTTTTTCTTGTTTTTCATGCATTTTTTTTTTATTGTTCTTGTATTTCAATTTAAGCTCTGATTAAAGAAGCTTTTGTCAAACCTTTGTTTTGAGACCATCTTCTATAAAGAGGTCTCATGTATAAGATGGCGATGTCTTACATTGCCATGAGACTTCAATAATGTTATGAAAATAACTAAGTTACCTTGATCCGATAAAAGTACTTCAGCTCTTCAAGTCTACAAAGTCAGCATGTATCTCCGTGATAGAAAACATCAGATAATAAGATAGGCCGAAAGCTCCATGTGAGAGGGAATATTTCTTTTGTTCACATGTTGCTCTTGTTGAATCTGAGGTTGGATTATGATTATGTTGACATGTTTGTATTTTCTTGATTTTGTTTAATACAGTGTTTGCTTGTGTTAATGTAAACAATGTTTTTGGATAGCCGGGAAAATCCACTACTGCAAGTATCCCATCCATCACAAATAAACCATCCCAACTCTGAATAATTGTACAACATTTCCTTACAAGATTTCAAGATTTTTTAAGTCACCCCGACCAAATAAACTGTGTAACATGAGGTGAAAATAGTACCTATCTATAATTAAGGCCCGGTCCCACTGGCTGATGGACAAAAGACGTCTCCAAATTTCGGGGGTGGCTCCTTCCGTTTTCATCCGCTCTAGAAATGGACAAAAATGGTGAAAATTTGCGAAAACAGAGCAGAAAAGAACGGACATGGGTTGTATGTAGCGGGGATGTTAAACGGATATTCATGGGAAGCCTGGCGTATGAAAGCGGTTGGAAGTGGATGACAGCTACAAATGGGTTACCGGGGGAAATTTCGAAGCGGACACATAGTGGAAAGAGCCGATGCATAGCGGATGAAGCGAATGCATCATGTACGCTAAACGGAAACAGAGGGGATGTCGCTCGGATGTATATCAGAAGCAAACCTTTCACGGCGCTTGCGTGGGGTATGGATCCTTCCGCTCCGCGGATATAAAGGGATGCAGCACGCACTCAGTCCGCATAAAAGGGAAAGGCATGCTGGTGGCTACATTTCGTTATTGAAGAAGGCTGTACACACACACACACACACGCACGCACGCACGCACGCACACACACACACACACACACATATATATATTACACCTTGTATCAACACCATGGTGCGTCAGTCAGGCAAGAAGAGGAAATCCTTTCCTACTCGTTCAAGCCCTGGAAAGGTGAAGAAGGCCAGAACCAGCACTCCACTCCCTGACTCTGATGGTGAAGCTGCTGCTGCTGCTGTTGTGGACCAGACTCAAGACCATCAAGCCCCTCAAAGCCATGCTGCTGAAGGCCCTGATGCAAAAGCCCCTGCAGGCCCCGAACAAGCTCCTGAAGGCCCTGGTGCTCAAGCCCATGGAAGCCCTGCTGAATTCCCTGAAGGCCCTGAACAAGCTCCAACCAGAGGGAGGAATAGGCAAGGGACTAAGAAGAGAGAGAGGAAACAGTACGCCGTTTCCGAGGAGCATGAGGACAATGTGCTGGAATGGCTGAGGGAGAACGAGTATCTCTGGAGAAAGGGCCACAGACTGTATCGGGACTCAAAGAAGAAACAGGCAGCTTGGGGAGACAAGGCAGAGAGCCTGGGGTACACTACAGAAGTACTCCTTGGATGGTGGAAGCACATGCACTCCTGGTATGGAAAGCTACATCTCAAGAAATCTGGGCAGGCCGCCGTCAAGCTCACTGACCGGGAGAAGTACGTTATAGCCAAGTGCACTTTCCTGGATGGTGAAATCCGCCACCGAGGAGCAGCCCCGTTGAAACCCCTCTTCCTCAGCCAACCTACAGACAGCCAGGCATCTTCAAGCCAGAAACAACCTACCCTATCCAGACAGGTGTCTTCAGAGAGCCCCACAGCAGACACCCCCTCAACAGCTGCAACCCCCGTGGTGCCGAATTTAAAGGATCCCGTCGAGAATGACACCCTGTTCTACAAATTGGAGGAACAAGCGGTAGCCGCCAGAGGCCAACCAATCCCTACCTCCAGCACCAGCTTTAGAAGCTGTAGGCAGAGATGCAGACTGGAGAGCCAGGACGACAGTGTACTGTTGGAGATAAGGGATACAATGAAGACCAGCACAGAACTTCTCTCTCAACTGGTCGACTCGGACAGGGCATCCTCTGTTCGGAAGCCCTTCATTATCTACGTGAGCCAGACCCTGAGGGACCTGCCCGAGGCCGAGTACCAGGTGATGAAGCAGAAGATTACAGCACTTCTCCACAACCCTCAAGGCCCAGCTGAAGCTCGTCTCACCCAGTGCAGGTCTGCTCCTCCACCCCAGGCGACGACGCAGCCCTTCCATGGTTTTCAAAAGCCCCTCTCCTACCAAGGCTACGGCTACCAGGACTTCTCACAGCAGAAGCAGAATTTCCCAGTCCAGACCCAGGTTTATCGGACGCCACAGATGATGTTGAAGACTAAGACCAAGAGTGATAAGGTGTGTATACCACGGCAGCTCGACTCATATTGAGATCCAGATGATTTTCTCCCCCTTTTTATACAAAATATCAATTGTCCGCTATGTGTCCATTTACATATTCTAGACATACTACAGACATCCTGAATATACGAGATACATCCCAGATACAAACGCTTTGAATACTTTATTTACGAGATACATCCCAGATACAAACGCTTTGTTCGTTTTGAATACTCTATATACGAGATGCATGCATACGCTTACATCCTTTTCTATTTCCATGCTACTAACGATGTATAGACGTTCCACGTACCTTGTCTTTCCCCTTCTTTCCCTTTTCAGATGTAGCGGATGTGAGTTGCGAGGATGTCCAGAGGATGCAGAGAGGATACAGCGGACGTTTAACAGATGATAACGGACATAGAACAGTTGTGGCTCGTATATGTTGCGGATATACATCGCACAAGGCGGAAAGTTCATCCGTTCTAAAAGTTTTGTGCAGCTCAAAATTTTTTAAGCGGATGAAATCACGATGGACGGATGTTCGATAGTAGAGCGTATGAAAGACGTATGCAATAAATGTACAACGGATGCATAGTGTTTTCCAACGGATGGCAAGAGTTGTTTACATTTTACATCCTCTTTGCATCCGTAAGTGCAGTGAGACCGGGCCTTAACAATAGGTGACAAGGTGGACGGATGTACTAATAACTTTTATGATAGACAATACGACAGCTTTACAAAAATGTATTTTAAACTGTATAGATATTATAACATAGTAACTGTATGCCTATAGCAATTTCTTCCATTATTTCAGGAACACTATTATATTTTTTCAATAGTAAGACAGATGTTTATATGTTTTTCCGTACATTTTCAGTTCCGTAGATAATGGAATATGTTTCCGATATTTCCGATACACATATCGACACGTGACATATGATTTCTTGTTTCGCATTGCTCTGTCATGTCCCTGTCTCCATATGAATTTTCTACTATCGGGAAGGTTTGATGGGGTTGAATACGTATTGAGTACAGTGTAAGCTGTTACTGATTCATGGTGGGTGTGTACGTTAGCCAATAATACTGAAATTGATGTGATTAATGTTCCAGATTTTACAATTTGACTTCAAATATTTCCCGACATTACGAAGCAGAAAAAAACAACTGAACCGGTGGAGACAAAGAATTCAGGTCAAACAAGAATGGAAAGGATGTAATGTTAACATTACCTGAACTAAATGAAAAAAAACAAGGGCGTGAGGGTCATATTACCTGAAAAAATAAGGATGTGAGGTAATATTACCTGAACTGAATGAACCATTGTTTCAGTTCAAGTCAGAAATAACAACCGCAAACTAATATACATCGCGGTGAGCATTCAAACTACTTTCAGATTAATGGATAATTTGCAAACTCTCTGGATGATCGTGAATTTACTGGGCTTCGTTGAATTTTAGATGATAAGATGAAGTTTATGTGTTGAGTCACCCTCTAAAAATGAACCAACTGCACCGATTTACTGCCTTACAAATGACTGTCCAAAAAAAGTATACATATAATTTCATCCGTTTGACTGGGGAATAAGGATGGAATGAATTTCTCCGTGTTATGTTTTTCCAATAGGTGGCGTGTTGTGTATTAGCACGTGCGGGTCGTGCTTTTTTTTCGTTTGCTATTAAGTGAAAAACAGTATTTAATAATTGAAGTTGTTTTCAAATAAAAGCAAATTGCGCGTGCTTATGAAGAACAATACATGTTTCTGTTAAATACTAAATTATGTGGCAATAAATCATGCGGTACCCTCCGTCGCTGTGAAAATACAGTTAATGGTTGTTGTTATTATTATCCTATTGGATAATTTAAAGGAGAAAAGCAGAAACACTGTCTAAAATATAAACCGGTCACCGGTAACGTCTCCTACAGTCACTGGAAACGTCTCGTACACTTACTAGTAACGTCTCGGACAGTCACTGGACACGTCTCGTACAGTCACCAGTAACGTCTCGTACAGTCACTGGTAACGTCTCTGACAGTCACTGGAAAAGTCTCAGACAGTCACCGGTAACATATCGGACAGTCACCGGTAACGTCTCGGACAGTCACCAGTAACGTCTCGGACAGTCAACGGTAACGTCTCGGACAGTCACTGGTAACATATTGGACAGTCACCGGTAACGTCTCGGACAGTCACCGGTAACGTCTCAGACAGTCACCGTTAACGTCACCGGTAACGTCTCGAACAGTCACCGGTAACGTCTCGGATAGTCACTGGTAACATCTCCTATAAGTCTCGTACAGTCACTGAAAACGTCCCGGACAGTCACTGGTAACGTCTCGGACAGTCGCTGGTAACGTCTCGGACAGTCACTGGTAACGGCTCGGACAGTCACCGGTAACATATCGGACAGTCACCGGTAACGTCTCGGACAGTCACCGGTAACGTCTCGGACAGTCACTGGTAACATATTGGAAAGTCACCGGTAACGTCTCGTCCCGGTAACGTCTCAGACAGTCACCGTTAACGTCACCGGTAACGTCTCGGACAGTCACCGGTAACGTCTCGGATAGTCACTGGTAACATCTCCTATAAGTCTCGTACAGTCACTGAAAACGTCCCGGACAGTCACTGGTAACGTCTCGGACAGTCGCTGGTAACGTCTCGGACAGTCACCGGTAACGTCTATAACAGACACTGGTAACGTCTCGGACAGTCACTGGTAAGTCTCAGACAGTCTCGGACAGTCACCGGTAACGTCTCGGACAGTCACGTCACTGGTAACGTCTCGGACAGTCACCGGTAACGTCTCGGACAGTCTCGGACAGCCACCGGTAACGTCTCGGACAGTCACTGGTAACGTCTCGGACAGTCACCGGTAACGTCTCGGACAGTCACCGGTATCGTCTCGGACAGTCACCGGTAACGTCTCCTACATTCTCGTACAGTCACTGGAAACGTCTCGAACAATCACAGGTAACGTCTCGGACAGTCACCGGTAACGTCTCGGACAGTCACGTCACCGGTAACGTCTCAGACAGTCACTGGTATTATCCCGGACAGTCACCGGTAACGTCTATACCAGACACTAATAACGTCTCGGACAGTCACGTCACCGGTAACGTCTCAGACAGCCACTGGTAACGTCTCGGACAGTCACTGGTAACGTCTCGGACAGTCTCGGACAGTCACTGGTAACGTCTCGGACAGCAACCGGTAACGTCTCGGACAGTCACTGGTAACGTCTCGTACAGTCACTGGTAACGTCTCGGACAGTCGCTGGTAACGTCTCGGACAGTCACTGGTAACGGCTCGGACAGTCACCGGTAACATATCGGACAGTCACCGGTAACGTCTCGGACAGTCACCGGTAACGTCTCGGACAGTCACTGGTAACATATTGGAAAGTCACCGGTAACGTCTCAGACAGTCACCGTTAACGTCACCGGTAACGTCTCGGACAGTCACCGGTAACGTCTCGGATAGTCACTGGTAACATCTCCTATAAGTCTCGTACAGTCACTGAAAACGTCCCGGACAGTCACTGGTAACGTCTCGGACAGTCGCTGGTAACGTCTCGGACAGTCACCGGTAACGTCTATAACAGACACTGGTAACGTCTCGGACAGTCACTGGTAAGTCTCAGACAGTCACCGGTAACGTCTCGGACAGTCACGTCACTGGTAACGTCTCGGACAGTCACCGGTAACGTCTCGGACAGTCTCGGACAGCCACCGGTAACGTCTCGGACAGTCACTGGTAACGTCTCGGACAGTCACCGGTAACGTCTCGGACAGTCACCGGGATCGTCTCGGACAGTCACCGGTAACGTCTCCTACATTCTCGTACAGTCACTGGAAACGTCTCGAACAATCACAGGTAACGTCTCGGACAGTCACCGGTAACGTCTATAACAGACACTAGTAACGTCTCGGACAGTCACCGGTAAAGTCTCGGACAGTCACGTCACCGGTAACGTCTCAGACAGTCACTGGTATTATCCCGGACAGTCACCGGTAACGTCTATACCAGACACTAATAACGTCTCGGACAGTCACGTCACCGGTAACGTCTCAGACAGCCACTGGTAACGTCTCGGACAGTCACTGGTAACGTCTCGGACAGCAACCGGTAACGTCTCGGACAGTCACTGGTAACGTCTCGTACAGTCACTGGTAACGTCTCGTACAGTCACTGGTAACGTCACGGACAGTCACTGGTAACGTCTCGGACAGTCACCGGTAACGTCTCGGACAGTAACCGGTAACGTCTCGTACAGTCACTGGTAACGTCTCGGACAGTCACTGGTAACGTCTCGTACAGTCACCGGTAACGTCTCAGACAGTCACCGTTAACGTCACCGGTAACGTCTCGGACAGTCACTGGTAACGTCTCGGACAGACACTGGTAACTTCTTGGACAGTCGCTGGTAACGTCTCGGACAGTCGAAGACAGTCACTGGTTACGTCTCGTACAATCACTGGTAACGTCTCGGACAGTCTCGGACAGCCACCGGTAACGTCTCGGACAGCCACTTGTAACATCTCGGATAGTGACTGGTATCGTCTCGGAAAGTCACTGGTATCGTCTCGTACAGTCACCGGTAACGTCTCGGACAGCCACCGGTAACGTCTCGGACAGCCACTTGTAACATCTCGGATAGTGACCGGTATCGTCTCGGACAGTCACTGGTAACGTCTCGTACGGTCACCGGTAACGTCTCGGACAGTCACTGGTAACGTCTCGGACAGACACTGGTAACGTCTCGTACGGTCACCGGTAACGTCTCGGACAGTCACTGGTAACGTCTCGGACAGTCACTGGTAACGTCTCGTACGGTCACCGGTAACGTCTCGGACAGTCACTGGTAACGTCTCGGACAGACACTGGTAACGTCTCGGACAGTCTCGGACAGCTACTGGTAACGTCTCGGACAGTCACCGATAACGTCTCGGACAGCCACTGGTAAGTCCCACACACTCGGGACAGTACACAACCAAAATTTGTTGACAGTGTAACAAAGACCATGTGACAAATGACGTTACGTGTGAATTTCTATGTGCAAGATTATCGAAAAGAGAAAGCATACGATACTGAAATATTGATCCCTGTGTATGTGGGTTCTGCCGTCTGTATCAGGAAACCGTTACTAATTCATGGTGACTGTGTATGTTAGCCAATAATGCAGACGAACCGCGTGAATATAGCTGATTAAATTTGGTTTCTCTGTTTGTCCGTTTTATTCATGTAATGGGTGCTTGCTAAGCTAAAAGTAGTGTTGATATTGTGTATGTTTGGTTAAGTTTCTCACGGACGTGTTGAAGGGTTGTTCGTTCATACGTTTTTTGCTAAAATCCAGTACGCTTTATAACGTACTAATGTTCAAAGCCGAGCTTTTAGTATCACGTGCAGACTTTTTCAGGTGTTTACTGTTTAACGGGTACATTAGAGGAAACAAATTGCTGTGTTGGCTGCTAGGGATCAGAGACACAGTATATAGTGTACAGTGTTACCACTGATGATATAACTAACAAACACGAGAGATTTGGCAAGTAATATATAACTTATAGTTTCGCTTATGCTGGAAGAAAAACGTTTGTGAGCGGAAAATAGAAATAAGATCATACAGTCAGTCGTGTTAATGAATAATACATCGTAAAAATGTCAGTTTTCGCAGCGAATCCATAAAACTTATTTTATTTCAAAGATCTACATGATATTTAAACCTCTCACGTTGGAACGTCAGATTTAAGTTTTAAAAAATGGAATAATTTGAAAATGAGATAATCGTTTGTAAGTGTCTTAAGTCGTAATTTAGACGGAACAGTGCGGCACATGAAATGTTCGTATATCAAGCTTTATCGGGTTTCTATCCATTTCTATCTATTTTCTCCACTACAGTTTAACGACCCAGTCTTTTGCCTCAGTGCTTCGTCTCGATATTTAATCAATGAATTTACGTAATAACAGACCATGGAAAATTTACATGCCTTTTCCTTTGAGATTTTTAGGCCGAGTCTGTAAATTTCCGCACTGTTTTTGTTTTCTATGTTAAACATAGGGAACTTGTAGTTTTCTCATTTCAGTTTGGTATGTAAGAATTACATGATGGTGTGGGTGTGTATGTGTGTGTGTGTGGTGGTTAGTGTGTATGTGTATGTGTGTGTGTTTGTGTGTGTGTGGTGGTTTGTGTGTGTGTGTGTGTGTGTGTGTGTGTGTGGTTGTGGTGGTGTGTGTGTGTGTGTATGTGTATATTTGTGTGTGTGCGTGTGTGTGTTTGTATGTATGTATGTGTGTATGAGTGTGTGTGCGTGTGTGTATGTGTTTGTGTATGTATGTGTGTGAGTTTGTGTGGTGGTGGTGGTGTGTGTGTGTGTGTGGTGGTATGTGAGTGGTGGTGGTGATGATGTGTGTGTATGTATGTGTGTGAGTGTGTGTGGTGGTGGTGTGTGTGTGTGTGTGGGTGTATGAGGGTATGTGTGTGTGTGTGCGTGTGCGTGTGTGTGTGTGTGGGTGGATGTGGGTGTATGAGGGTGTGTGTGTGTATGTGTTTGTGTATGTATGTGTGTATGTATGTGTGTGAGTGTGTGTGGTGGTGGTGGTGTGTGAGGGTGTGTGTGTGTGTGTGTGTGTGTGTGTGTGTGGTGTGTGTGTGTGTGAGGGTGTGTGTGTGTGTGTGTGTGTGGGT